TAATCAATACATGTTACAATTATTTCACAGAATAAATGTGAAATTTAACACAAGTTGTAGACAATAACATGTCTAATGCTTTGGTACGTCGCCAAACAAGCAAAAACAGTCTTTCCTCGTTTTCATTTCGCTTACAAGTTATCGCTTACTAAACCTTGTATAGAAAAATAAAACAACCAGCTAAATGACCTGTAGAAGTAACTATTGGTTTGACGGATGACATCTCTTTTCTTGTCATTTTAAGCCTAGAAGCGGTCGGAGTTTACGTTTCAGTATTGATGATGGCTACGCAAACAGATTTGCTGAGCGACTGTCAGCAACAACAAAAAATAAAAAGAAGGAGAAGCGTTTAATAAAGCGAAAGAAAATAAAGAAATCATTCACTAGTACCACAATAATATTATTGTTATTATTGAGGGGGTACTCGCTAATGTTGCTATGATGGAGGACACAGGGTGGCATAGTTAGCTAAAACGGCGACAATAACCTGTTTTAGTCAGAAACGCCATTATTTTAACACCCCGATAACTCACCCGTATAACGCTCGGAACAGAAATGCCTTGTTGGTGTGATACTGTCTTAGATTAACTTATTTGGCGCACCATCCTCTCCGGCAGGATGTTTTTGATAGCTCTCTACTAAGCTTTACGGGTTGCGCGCCGTGTCGCCAGCGAATGACGAAACGCGCAAAAAGAAACCTCGCGCACACGGTTGACGCAAGCACCGTGGGGGACTAGTGAAAACAGAGGCGCTTTTATTGGAATAAGAAACAGGTAAATAAATACCCCCTACCGTTTAGCACTACAAAGGATCGATGCTTTCGGCTAATGAAAAAAAAATGAAGCTCTGTGCTGCGTTTGGCTGTGAAAGGGCCTCGTTCACGGCAAAGTTTCGATCCTAACGTCGCACACCTCCTCGGCCTTACTGCGGCCTTGAGCTAACGCTAACATTTGGTGCAGATAAATCATGTCCAAGTGCTGTTATTGTCCAACTGCTACGACGCAAACAACCTCTCGAAGCTAGCAGGGCAATCAAAATGTATTGTGTTTACTTTTATCTTTGTATTTAGCGTATGCGGTAAGCTTTAGGAACCGTAACGTCGATGCTTTGCTGTTGCTTTTTAACAAATATGCATACCGCCAATAGACAGCAGTTTCTGTAGTACCGTTATAGATATCAATAAAGGCGTTTCATGAATTTTGTGTATTTATCATAGTAGTCGTATTGACGTGAATAGTCGTAGATGCTCGTCTGCGCATGTGTTGTTCAGCTAAAGTTGCTTTCCGCAGTAGGGGATGTAATGTACTTACAATCCGTATTATTTGTTAGTAAACTCGTCATTATCCACCGAAATGCCCTTGTTAGAAGTGGACGCTATTGACTATGTGACCGGCTAAAGAGAGAGGTGTCCATAATGCTGAGTCAGATTGTGCTGAGGGCACCTTTAATAAAGAGCCACGAAGTATAGAAAAGGTCAGATGGAGCTGCACTTTGTCTTTCTGAATCAAGAAAAAGTGTATGATAGGATTCTAAGAGAGGAACTGTGTTATTGCATGAGGCAGTGGGAACTGGGAGAGAAGCATGTAAGCGTGGTGCAGGACATGTGTGAGGACAGAGACAGTGGTGAGGTATGAAGTAGGTGTGACAGATGGGTTCACTGTGGGGGTTAGGATTACATCAAGGATCGGCTCTGAGCCCCTTGTTGTTTGCAGTGGAGGTGGACACATTGAAAGATGAGGTCAGGTTGGAGTCTTCGTGGATTATGGTGTTCGTAGATGATGTTGTGATCTGTAGTGAGAATAGTGAGCTGGAGGAAGAGAACTGGTGAGAGTTATGGTCTGGAGAGAATAGGAATGGAGGGCAGTATAACCAAGACAGATTACATGTGCACAAATTAGAGGGAGACAGGTGTAACAGTGAAAGGTAGTCAAGGGTGGATGAGTTTAAATACCTGGGGTCAACCATCCAAAGCAACGGACAGTGGAGACAGGGTGGAGACAGGAGCCTGAGCTGAGTTGAACATGATCAGGTTTTAGTTGGAATGGACAAAATGAGAAGTGAGTACATCAGACGAACAGCTCAGGCCAGCAACACTAAAGAGGCAAGATTGAGATGGTTTTTAAAAACTGAGCTGCCTGTAAGGAGGAAGAGAGGAGGATCACAGAGGTTGGTGGATGTAGTGAAGCAGGGTTGGTGTGACAAAGGAGAAAGAAGAACTGAAAGAAGAACTATTTTTTAACTTTAAATTGGGAAGTGTAACAGGGCTGGTCTAAGATTTTAGAGACTTCTCTAAGAGCTCTTTTTTTAAATTCATTTCAGAACAGCCATGAACTGGAACAAAGGTGGTCCTGGTGTGAAGCGAGGTTTTGGCTTTGGGGGGTTTTCACTCGCAGGAAAAAAAGAAGAGCCTCGCCTTACTCAAGAATCACACACATCATTTGGAGGCCCAGGATCTGGAAGTGGTGGATATGGGAAGAACCAGCAGCTCCCATCATTCTACAAAATAGGGACCAAAAGAGCTAATTTTGATGAGGAAAATGCGTGAGTATTACATATCTCACATATGTACAGTAATAGAAATATTAATTTCAGCCCTTGATAGCAGCACATACTGGGATTGTGAGTAAATGTATAAGCTGCATATGTCCTCTTTTCAATTAGATATTTTGAAGATGATGAAGAGGAGTCCAGCAGTAACATGGATCTGCCTTACATCCCAGCTGAAAACTCACCCACACGGCAACAGATGCAGTCAGGTGGTGGCTCAGACAGCGAAGATGACCCTTTGGATGCTTTCATGGCCGAAGTTGAGGTGAGTAGAATTTTACAGATAAGCAGAGACACAAACTAAACTAAATTCTGCCTTTAACAGATTTATTTTATTTTTATTTTTCAGAACCAAGCAGCTAAAGACATGAAGAAACTAGAGGAAAAGGAGAAGGAGAAAAAGTCAGCCAAGTAAGACTCTATATTTGCTTGTTTTCATGCTTAATTTAGGTGTTAGGCATTAAATAAAATAATTTCAACAGGAAAAAAGAAATTGCCCACAATTGGATCAAAATTTCATTTAATTTTAAATGTGGCTTAAGTTGCCAAAAGCTGTTAAACTTTACTCAAACCTTATCATTCAAATTTCTCCAAGAAAAAAATGTAAATAAAAATAAAAATCCAACAGTACCTTTGCTAAATAAAAAAAAAAAAAGAAAGATATTGTGAGGTAAGCAGATTGATCATACTCATAGTGGGATGTGGGCTGTCTTTGGTGTACGAACGAGCCGCAGGGAAGTTTTTTTTTTCTCCGCTTGTCATTTCAGGGGTATTCGTGATGACATTGAAGAAGAAGATGAGCAAGTGAGTGAGCCCTCCAAAGTTTTTAATCCTCTACTTTGCTGGTCAGAGAGGTCTACCCTCTCTAATGTTATAAAGCCTCATGTCTTCCCTTTTTTTTGACCAGGTTGCATATAGGATCAATATTTTTAAATGCATTTCATTCTTGTTTTTAAATTGTTAAGTATTCTTTAACCCGTATGTTAAGCTTGTGCTATAAAGCTGAAAAGTCTCATCTGTCACTTCATCCTGGAGGCTGTAGTAAGGCTGTACTAGCTCACTTTTTCACCTGAAATGATTTAATCTCTGCAGGAAGCTTACTTCCGCTACATGGCAGAGAATCCCACCGCCGGGCTGACACAGGAAGAGGAGGAGGAAAACATTGATTATGACAGTGATGGGAATCCAATTCCCTCTACAACCAAGAAAATTATCATGCCACTTCCTCCTATTGACCACTCAGAGGTAAAGTTCATAATTCTCACTGAAAACACACAATTGTTTGGGGGGGTTGTTGTTGTTTTTGTATTTCTCACATATGATAACTATTTGATTGTACATTTTGCTGCCTTTTTTGCAATTTTTCATAGATTGATTATCCACCCTTTGAGAAAAACTTTTACGAAGAGCATGAGGAACTCAGCAGCTTGACTGGAACTCAGGTGCTGGAGTTGAGGCATAAACTGAACTTACGAGTAAGTCTGTTATTCATTTTTTGTACCTGAGAAGGGATAGAGATGTAGTTTAAGCTTTCTTTTCTAGTCTTATTTTCTTTATCACCGATATTACTAGCAACATGGATCGCGAAATAAAGATTAAGTTATTTGTTGCTCATTGTTTTGTTCTTTCTCAGGTATCTGGTGCTGCCCCTCCAAAACCTTGTACCAGCTTTGCCCACTTTAATTTCGATGAGCAACTAATGCACCAAATTCGGAAGTCTGAATACACTCAGCCCACACCAATTCAGTGTCAGGTATGTTGTAATTTAATGTTTTGATATTCACATGGGTGAAAATTTAATAAGTTGTTATTAATGGGGAATAAATTTTGATTTTAGGGTGTCCCCATTGCGCTGTCAGGACGTGATATGATAGGTATTGCAAAAACGGGCAGTGGCAAAACTGCAGCTTTTATCTGGCCAATGCTGGTTCATATCATGGACCAAAAGGAACTGGAGCCTGGGGAAGGACCCATCGCAGTCATCGTGTGCCCTACCAGAGAGCTTTGTCAGCAGGTAAGAGAAGGTTGGAGTATAAAGGGTATATTTGAAATTACAATGTTAAAAGCGTTGGCTCAGTATGGTGTGTAACTGTTAATATTTACTAGATCCATGCAGAATGTAAGCGCTTTGGGAAAGCCTACTCATTGCGTTCAGTGGCTGTATATGGAGGAGGCAGCATGTGGGAGCAAGCCAAGGCTTTGCAGGACGGTGCAGAGATTGTTGTGTGCACTCCAGTAAGAACCTTTTTTCATTTCTCCTGGTTAAAGATGAAGCATTTGCTGCACTGTTGCAAAATAAGCATTAAGTTCACTGCACGTGTGTGTTTGCACAGGGTCGTCTGATAGACCACGTTAAAAAGAAGGCCACGTCTCTGCAGAGAGTAACATACCTGGTGTTTGATGAGGCTGATCGAATGTTTGATATGGGCTTTGGTGGGTTATCATTGTCACTGCTCTAGGAAAGATGTTGTGCTTTTATTCTTTCTAATTTACAGTATGTTGAAATCATTTTTTGTTTTCTTTCTTTTTGCTTTAGAATATCAGGTTAGATCCATTGCCAGCCACGTTCGCCCAGACAGACAGAGTAAGTGATATGATTCATTATTTTTTTTAATGCAAATACTGGAACTACTGAGAATTTATATATTAATATTGATTCATTAATTTCTTCTCAGCTCTTCTGTTTAGTGCTACATTTCGGAAGAAGATAGAGCGGCTTGCTAGAGACATTTTGGTTGATCCCATTCGTGTCGTGCAGGGAGACATTGGAGAGGTAAATATAGCTTTTAATGTTAATGCTTCTTAAATGTTCACACAGGGTGGTGAAGTACATAGAATTCAACTTTTCCTAACTTTCAATTTTTAAAACGTAGTTTCATGTCTACTCAAATGTTCTGCTGCAAAATAGACAAAGTTTTGTAAGACATTTTTGTCTTTAAAGCTCTGTTTTTAAAAGTACATAACATGTTTTTTTAGGCTTTCATTAAAATGCAAACAAAAAAATGCCCTGACACTGCTTTTATTTTAATCCTCTCTAAAAAGGCCAATGAGGATGTGACTCAGGTAGTGGAGATGCTGGTCAGTGGGTCTGATAAATGGGGCTGGCTGACTCGCCGGCTGGTCGAATTCACCTCCACAGGATCGGTCCTCATTTTTGTCACCAAGAAGGCCAACTGTGAGGAGCTAGCTACTAACCTGAATCAAGAGGGCTACAGCCTGGGCCTCCTGCATGGTGATATGGACCAGAGCGAGAGGAACAAGGTCATCAGTGATTTCAAGAAGAAGAACTTGCCCGTTCTGGTGGCCACTGATGTAGCTGGTGTGTACACGATGTAGTTCTGATTGACACTAAGGTTTCCTTGTTCCCTTTTCTTTACGTTTTCATCACTTTCTGTAGCAACTTAATTTTCTTCAAGCTGAGAAACACATGCATGTATGAACGCAATTGTAATCTAACATTTCCTTGCTGCCTTTTTTCCTCTTACTAGCTCGTGGTCTGGACATCCCATCAATTCGTACGGTGGTGAACTACGACGTTGCACGAGACATCGACACACACACCCACAGGATCGGTAGAACGGGTCGTGCTGGAGAGAAAGGTGTGGCCTACACTCTCCTCACCAATAAAGACACATCATTTGCTGGGGACCTGGTGCGGAATCTGGAGGGAGCTAATCAGGCTGTTTCCAAAGAACTGATGGACTTGGCCATGCAGGTTAGATAAATCACTGATTCACAAATAATATTTATCTGGACTAAATGCATCACTTTATTAATTGATTTTTTTTTTTTTTGTAAACTTTGCTCAATTTGCATTGTTTTGGGTTTTTTTTCCCAGAATCCCTGGTTCAGGAAGTCACGATTCAAGGGTGGCAAAGGAAAGAAACTGAATATTGGTGGAGGTGGTCTTGGTTACAGAGAGAGACCCGGCCTTGGGGCTGAAAGTTCTGTAAGTTAAAACCTAATGATTGTAATCATTAATGCACACTGTAAATTAATTAGCAAAATGCCCATAATAACAGATTATGACTTATAACTGTTTTCTTTACAGGATCGTAGCAGCACTAGTAGCTTGTTGTCTTCCACTAGTAGCTATGAAGGCTACAGCAAACCAACTACTGGGGCAATGGGGGATCGCATGTCTGCAATGAAACAAGCCTTCCAGGTACTCACTAATTCAGTTTTTCTGCCATTCTCCTTTATGGTCTATAATTATTCCTACCTAGAGAGATTTCAAATGCACGTTTACGACGTAGTATTAGGGCCACATTAAGAAAAAAAATATTATTGATCATTTTGAGAATAAAATAAAAGTTGAAAATCGAATTAGAGAAAAAAATTCAAAATGTGGAGATTACATTTGTTGTTTCGAGACAAATTCCCACGGCTGCTGTATCCTCAGAGTTACTGAAATCGTACTTCAGACTCAGCTTAAGTGACAAGGAAAGAAATGATTTCTCTTTTAGCACACAAACACAGTGTGGTGATAAGAACGACGGTGAAAAGAAGATTCAGAAGCTGCATTTGGTCAAACAGAAAAACCACACAAACTTGGAAGAGTGCATTTGTACAAAATGGAAGGGCTGGTAATGGACAGAGGCAAGATTATCGATGGTTCCACCCTCGTTCAATAAAGAGGATGTATGTTATATCTACACAAGGCATTTTGTAGAGGGTAAAGCAGCCGTGACAGTTTGCCTTAAACCGACAGCAGTAATCTGCACGATTCAACTTTTAACTCAAATTAGTATTTCGACTTTTTTCTCAAAATGATCAATAATATTTGTTTTTCCTCAGTGTGGCCCTAATACTCCTTTGTTAGACTTACCTCCATGTATTATGTATAAAGATTTCTGTAACTCCTCAGTGCTTAATGCAGTATTTTTTGTTTAGCCGCTTAAATCAAAGCTGAAAAGCAGTTCAGTTGCATCTTGATGAGTTCATCTTAAACTTACTGTGTACGCTTACTTTGGACATTCTTTGTTAGAAAGGAATAAATGCCTTAGGTTTAAGATAGTTAGTCATTCATAATGTCTCTTTTTCCTCTAGGCTCAATATAAGAGCCACTTTGTAGCTGCATCCAGCGGCCCCCCAAAGCTCAGTGCCAAGTCTAGTGGCTCCTCAGGATGGACCAGTGCCGGCAGCCTGAGCTCTGTGCCAACAGAATCTGCCAATGGCTCAGAACGGTCTCACAGTGCTACCTTGTCCATGGTGGGTTTCACCAGTGCTGGCTCCCTGAGCTCAGTGGCCCCCACCAGTCAAACCAGTTCACTCCAGAGCTACACTCCACCTGCACCTCCGTCACAGAGAGAGAGCTCACGTGATAGACACGGGGACGACCGGGGGCGTCACGGTGACAGTCAACACCGCCATAGCGACAGGAACGATCGATACAGTAGCGAGGATCGCTACGGAGACCGGGATCGTCACGGGGATAGAGATAGAGATCGTGACCGCCACGGCGACCGTGATCGCCACAGCAGCAGCCGCCACAGTGACAGTCGTAACGGAGATGGAAGCAAGAGGGACAGAGATGATCGGAGGAGTGATAGGGATGGGGGAGACAGGGGGAGTGGAGATGGGAGGGACAGAGGAAGCGATAGCTTTGCTGTCCCTGAACCACCTAAACGTAGAAAGAGCAGATGGGACAACTAAAGAGAACATAAACACATTAATCGATCTTTATGTGCACCCAACTGCTCCATAACAAGCTTGTCTGTAAAGGCAGATAGCAGAGCATATCCGAGGCTGACACAAGCACAGAACCGTAGGGGATATTTTATAGATTTCGATTAGATAGGAAGTGTACCAAACCTCCTATCAGGCTGGTTAGGACATCATGGTTTGGAGTTTAACAGTTTGGTCAGATCAGCATAAGCGGCTCCGAGACAGCTACTGTACATATACCATCTAAGACTGTTGTTATTGTAAGTCAAGTCAAGCAATACAGCTGTAATAAATCCTCCTGTCCATTAAAAACAATCAAATTAGGATGTGTTATCGTTGTTTGTCTCACTGGCCTCATGCTTTTGGCTTGCAAACTTGATGCTTTATTTTCTCCAGTGGTTTTTTGCCAAGTGTGTTTGTATTTTTGCATTTTGTTAATCTACAAAGCAAACTGTTTGATTTCTGAAGGCGCACTGTGATGATTCACAGTCACTCGAGTACATGTCAAAACAAATATGTATAGTTCTTTTTGTGTCTTGTATTCAAGTTTTAGTGAAGTGCCTCTCTTTGGCATTTAGTCTGTATTCCAAAATGTTTTCAAGAAAATGCATTTGTTTGAGAGGAATTTCAAGTGTATATTGACATGGAAAATGAGAGGTTTTTGATTAAAAGGACTCCTTTGGCACATGCTTTTATATATTCATTTTTGGCTTTCATTACATAGTGATAGGGTCAGAAAGTTGGGATTGAGATGGGATGACATGATGCAAAGGGACTGGAGTGAAATGAAACCCAGCCTGCCACATTAAGAACTAAGCTCTTGTTGTATGGGCTGTTGCTTTAGCATCATGTGACATAAAAGGAGTTTTTACTGCTGATGTTAAAATCCAAAAAGGTGACATGAAAGATGGGAGTTGTATATTTCTCTAAAGTGGTTTAAATTCATTTAATTTAAACTTAAACAGTTCCTGGCAGCAAACAACCACAAAAAAGTGGTTTTGTCATTTCTCACTGTGGCCACTGGGGGGCATAAATGGTTGTGATACGCATCATTACACATAATCGTAGCGGTGTCAAACATATTTTTGCAGGCAGCTCAGATATTTGCGTATAATCCCTGTGCAAATTTTATTCACATAAACTACAAAGCAAAAAGTAAATAACTAGCATGTCACAATTTTACTCCCCCTTTTCAAAAAAGTTTAACCAATTTTCTCTTCCATATTTGGCATTCACTTCACATAACGATTGGTTTAACTGCTTCAGTGTGTTGCACACTGCTCAACACTATGACCTGTATTTTCAAATTAATTCTACCATGGCTACCTATTTTACTAACATTTACTGGCTTCTAGTCTGGAGCTTTTGATCAAAATGAAGTGTAATTTCCTGTGTGTAAGAGCTTCAAAGAAGGCAACTGGACATATTTAACTTCTTTGAAGATGTTTCACCTTTCATCCAAGATGCGTCTAAAAGATGAAGAGTTCCAGGTATTTAAACCCTAGTGGGAGTTGCTTCTTAAGTGGGGGTGATTTATTTATTTATTTTATTTTTTTAAGTCGATGATGCAATGTCCTCGAATAACTTAAAGACGTCCAATCACTGTCTAAACTTTCAAGCTCTTAAGACTACCGTGACCGGGATCACCAAGAACCTACACAGATCTAAGACTATCTACTTTTGATGGAGCATTTCTACATTATTATGAGGATATATATGGATATAAATACATTAGTCTTCTTACATTATGTACTTTATTTTGGTAACTTGTAATCTCCTGGTTTAAGAATTTATTGAATCGGGAAACAAATATAATGAATAAGGTGAAAAGCTGATAGTTGATAAAGCAAATAAATATGTGTGCTGATAATATATCACACATTATCACACGATTAGATTTTTGTGTTATGATGAACAGCCTAAGATGTCTAAAGAAACAAAGGTGCACTTTCACCATAACATCTCAGTTTGTCCACATTGAGTGATTTTACTGTTATCACTTCCATATTACTCACATTCATATATATATATCTTTTTTTTTACTCATACTAACAACTCGAAGTGTTTACCATACATTCACGAAACACTTTATTTTATGCACTTCAAGAACTTTACCTATCTCTTACCCATAGCCAATTCAGAATTCACAGATAATCTAATATGCATGTATTTTGACTGTGGAAGGAAGTCTAAGTACCCAGGGGAAAAGATGCAAACTCCACACAGGAAGGCTATAGCTCGGGTTCAAACAGTGCAGCTTTTAAAGGCACAAAACCTGCACAACACGCATTTTTGTAACAGATGAACACAGTACAATAGTATTTTGCACCTTTATGATCAGAACTACATGTATTTAAGTAAGTAGTAAGTTAAAAATATTTTCAACTTATAGCACATTTTTACTCCTGTGTATAAATACTGCCATCGCATCACCCCACGAGGATTATCAGTGAATTAAATAAATAAAATAATGCACGATTCCGCGGTACATTTAGTCACATGGTTTTGACAAATTTAATGCATAGAAAAAAAAAAAAAAAACAGAAAAAGCACACAACACATGCACACACACATAAAAACACAAAAAACACACCCAGCAATAATATGAATAATATCAGAAGAAATGTGCAGTTCAAAGCAATTACCAAAGAATATCTAAACCAATAAGCCGGAAATTATTATCGTTGTTCCTTTAAAACATGTAGATTACAATTAAAATATATTTAACCTTTATTTAAAAACTTTCTGTTCGAGCCTTAGTTGTGATTTGTCCGATAACCTGCGAATGTGTCAGAACAGATGAGAACCAATAGCGTGCGACCTTCTGCCGGAGGAAAAAAAACACGTTCCGTTGAAAACCCGAAACGAGAAGCGAAGAGGAGGCAGAAATTCGCCGGCGTTGGGGTTACTGTCTCCGAAAAAAATCTTGCCTTAACCCAAAAGTGAATGAGAGGGAAGGTATCTGCCTCCAGCTACTGAGCAAGCAGACTTCGTGTTATCAGCCAGTGTATCGCAGACAAGAAGCCAGATGGTGAGTGTGTATTTTTTTTTGTCCGTTGCACCGTGTGTGTGTCTGCAGCCTCCCCTCCCTCCGCCGCGCGCCCCTCTTCTTCTTTTAATTTTTTTTGTGAGAAGATGTGAGGTGGTAATGTCTTTCCACCCGGGAACGGTTAGCTGTGCAGAAACTGATTTGTTATGTAAACCACTGCGTGAATTGCTGGGGCAGGAGGAGAGAATCAGCTCTGAAAAATTTCCACAGAATTTAAATGCCCGCCGCCGCAGCCGCCGTGTTCCTCAGAAATGCTAACAGTGTGCCGCTTCTTGTCTGCTCGTTAGCTAGCTCGATGGCTAATTACTATAATCTAACCATAGTATCTAAATATACTATTGGTGCGTTATTACAAATCACTCTTGCTTATTATTAAGTCTACGACTTATTAATTTTCCTTCCTTTTTATCGGCCTACTTATACATGCGTTTAAATCAGCTGAATATTATGTGGCGTGTATTTATGTTTTTGTTTTGCTTGAGCTGCACCAGCCATAGCAGATTTTCATTACTTGCACCTGATATTTCTGTAGCAATTACACCAAACCATGGACGAGCATTCAAGAAACCTGGGAAAGAAAAGCACGCAAAAAAGTATAAAGATGCGTGTTGTATTCCACTCACTGGGCATACTTTGCAGCCAGCTGGCTTCATACATGATCATAACACAAATGTTGACTAGCAGCATCCATCCAGGCATTCCTGCATCCCTATGAAATAACTGTGTTCATTGAGGGATAAGCAATTATCCAGGTTTGAATACAATGGATATACAATGAATATAATGGTCCTCTTTGACTTTGCCCTGCAGCATACAAAGTCGCCTTCCAAATGTATAAGTGACTGGGTTTTCAGCTTTATTTGCACTTACTGTAGTGGTTTGTATTGTCAAACCATTATGTGCGGTGTGGTAAAACCACATTTCATCCATCCAAAGCACCACAGCTTTAGAAATCTGTAATTATGGCCCTGGCATATGGCGAGAAGGCTTAAGTAAGTATACCGTCATTCTCTGATTTCCTACTATCATCAGTGTACTGTCTGAGTGTAATTTCAGTTGGAGTAGACTGCACAGATTGACACCCTGTTCTGCTGCCTGAACTACGTCAGTATCCTGCTGGATTTGGGAGCCTGTTGTTGCAGTTTGACTCACTTGTTTGCCCAGACAGTAAATAAATAAAGCAGCTTTCAGCAAACCCCATTTTCCAAAGCTGCAATGAGGACTACTAAAAATTGTATTTAGTTTGTCCATATGCTGTTCTGTCAAACAATTACCATTAACGGCACAAAAACCTAATTTGTTGGGCATGTCAGAAGTGCCATATGTTGGATGGAAGGGGGGGGTTGCCTGCTGTCAGATGTGCAGAGGAGTATTAAATGGGTCGCCAGCAGGTCCATGGCATAGAGCTGCAGGAAAAAGTGGCACATAGTTACACTGGGTGCATACCTGTGCCTTTATATCCCCCTCTATCAATCATTTACTGAAAATAAGAAATATAGCCAGGAGGTATGTGTAAGCAGGCAGGCTCAGGCTTGGAAGGATGTTGAAACAATTTCACAGTTGATATATATATATATATGTATATATGTGTGTGTGTGTGTGTGTGTGTGTGTATTTATGTTTTTTTATTGTTGCATGGGAACGTCACTTCTTTGCAAGCCAAATCAGCTGTGTAGAGACGAATCAGTATTTTTCAATCACTGGGCAAATCACTGATTGCCAGTTGAGCACACAAATATACCTGACCTAGTAAAAGGAAAAAAATACACGTCTCTTTCGTTTCCTGTGGGTATGTGCAGTCTCGCAGTCTGTAAACCTGCATAAAGACTCATTCCAGGAAGTCTTAGTACGTTACTTCCTCTTTGATTTATTTAATTTTCCTGAGAAGTTTCATGTCATTCTCTTGTAAATCAGATCACAGACAGATGTGTGGTGCTGGTAATAAAGGTTTGGCTGCTCTACTCGTACAGCAACAATCCGGACCATTGCCAGCAACTGCTCCAGTTGAAGATAAGAAACTTCAGCATGATTATAGTCTTTTCTCCATTCTTTTTATACAATCCGGTCTCCCCAGCCACCCCCACTGCCATTTAAAGCTCTGCGTGTCTCTTCTTTATACCAGTATTTTTCAGTCTGGACTGAAACCATTAACTCACATTACGTTTTGTCTCTGAGGTTGTCAGCACTGGTCCAACGTCTAAAGTCCTCACGGAAAATAGTTTTGAAGTACTCCAGTTCCTCACAGCATCATAAGTCAACAGAGAACATCTAAGAT